ATCCCTCAAAGCAGGGTTGCCAGGTCTGAGACAATATACAGCCCAGTAAAAACTTAAAACCCAACCACTTAAAATTAATTAAAAGTAGCCTATTTTTTTTCCAATTGATGAATTCTCACACTTGTAGCTAAAGCATACCCCCCACAACCACGCTTTCACTTTAGGGTCGAGGGCGGCCTGACCGTCCTTTGCCTAGAGCGGCAGTTCAGCTTGCTCCGGCCCTGGATGTGTGTAGTAATAACTGTGTTGCCTGTTATATCAAATACGTAAAATAAGTTCCCATTCTCGAAATGAAGTCGATATGTGTTGCCTGATATAACAGCCTGACATGGGCATGTTGGTGATTCCCAAGTCTAAATAGTGCGCGGGCTTGTCTCGTTATGAAAGTCCCCGTAGAAAAAAAGGGTTAGCCTAAGACAGGCGTGGCCTACCCTGTTCCCGGAGACCCTCCTTCCTGCAGATCTCAGTTGCTACCTATATCAACCACACCTGATCCATATTAATTAGGACCTGAACACCATAGCAGCGTCCGAAACCGCCTACTACTCAGAGGGTACTGCATTGAATTTAAACATACTTCTCGGCCGTTAGAAAAGTACGTTCCATAAAGTATGAATTTGAAAAGTATGAATGGAGTTCGGACGTACTACATCCGCCATTTTGTCATGATCACGTGACCTACCTGCGTCAGTTGCGTCGCTTCAGTCCCATTCATGAATTCTCTCATGGGGCATTATGGGATAGTGCAGCGTGCATGGAATGCGCACATCAGAATCTTGCAGGAAGTAGTAAGTCATCCGGGGACATCTCGCCTACTGATTTTCGAATTCTATGAATTCGGACATACTACTCGGCTCGCATACTGATTTTAGCGTACTATATGGTATGGAAGTATGCGGTTTCGGACGCAGCCCATGTTATAATTACAGGCAGGTGTGTTTGATATGGGTTGCAACTGAAATCTGCAGGAAGGTGGCTCTCCAGGAACAGGGTTGGCCACCCTGGCCTATGATATCAGATAACATTAACAGCATTACATCACATGATACGTAATTAAGCTCAATAACATCAAATGAAAAGCAAATAAGACGCGCCTTGATACCAGATACTATCAACGCAGGTTCATTGTGAAAATATTCCCCACATACATTTCTGGAGAGTGTAAATTATGTAGCTAGAGCTACGTATGGCAGCAATTCATCTTTAAATTGAACACTATAGGGCAGTATAAAACCATCAATGGTTTCTGTTTCTTTTTGTGCTACCTCCATGTGGATGGCTTTTTCTCTGTTAACCAGTTTGTTACCCAGTAGATTGCGTATGTCGGCAGACTTGAGACACACTTGAGATGTAAAGGGAGGTGGAATTTGTGTTATAATTGACTGGTACGTTGAATTATTAAACACCTAATGAACAACTGTGGTGTAAGTTCACTTAATCATCTCATAATCTTTTCTTGATCAACTTCATTGACCTCTTTTGTGTCTCGTATTTTTCCTCTAGTGTGTCCTGGCACTGATAACAAGCTCAGCACACTGTCGGATTTGGACCAGCAATACAAGACTCTTCGCAAGTTTTATGAGAACTGTGAGGTGGTCATGGGTAATCTGGAGATCACCAGTATTGAGAGGAACCGGAACCTGTCTTTCCTCAAGGTGAGATTACAGTATTATTGTCTTTAACAGCTTTCTATGGTAGAGTTCAATGAAGGGCTTCTCCATAGGCCCTTCATTGGGCTATTATAGATTTTTGTTGGACAGATGGCATATTTAATTTGATTCGTATGAAAATGAGGGCGGTTCATTCCGCTGTGGCGACCCCGGAATAATAAAGGGACTAAGCCGACAAGAAAATGAATGAATGACTGAAAATGAGGTTGTTGTGTTAGTTGTGCACTCAGCTTTACGTGTTTCAATGGTCATAGTTCATTTTACAACTCTTATTTAACACTATTGTTTATGTGCTGTCTATTGAATTTAAATAATTGTGAAAGTAATGTAAAACATGTTTAGGTTCCACAGAAAACAAACAATTTAATATTAGAATATTAGCATTTGCCATTGGCCAGCGACACTGTGAATAACATATTGTTGCCTGAAATTTTTTAGTTGAATCAAATGAACATTTCTGGTCATCTCAAATCAACATCAGTCAAACTGACTACAGAAAATATTAAGTTAAACTTTGTATAGCTAAAAATATTTAGTTGAAACCTGATTAACTGATTAAAATTGGTTAAAGAAACATAAAAAAAACATTTGTTGTTATGACTTTTTGTCACATTGTTGTTTTTTAGTGTTCGATAATCTAAATTTAAACTTTTTTAAAATTAACAATTTTTTTTTTACTTTAACCATTTCTTTGCTTAAAAAAATAAAAAAGAGGTTTGTGTAAAAAAACAGTTCTTCAAATGTTTT